ATAAATAAATAAAATAAATGCATTGTGTCCAACTACAATTAAAAAAATAAATATTTAAAGAAAAAGGAATATTCAAAAGGTGAAAGGAGAGAAGAGAAGTAGCATGTGAAGACATAAAGAAGGAGAGAGGAAAAAATAAAATAAACAAAATACAGACTGAAATAGAGAAAGAACAAGATAATTTGGTTATTATAGAGAGAAGAAAGTGGAGAAATTAACAAGAGATAAAAACTAAAACTTAAAAATACCTTCAAAAAACAAAACAAGCCAGGTGTGGTGGTGCATGCCTATAATCCCAGCAGCTGGGGAGGTTGAGGCAGGAAGATAGAGAGTTCAAGAGCCAGCCTGGGCAACTTAACAAGGCCCTAAGCAACTTAGCAAGAACTTGTCTCTAAATAAAATATAGAAAGGGCTGGGGATGTGGCTTAGTGGTTGAGTGCCCCTGGGTTCAATCCCCAGTACCAAAAAAAAATAATATTAACAAAAAGATAATAAAAAAGAAAAAAATGATAAAAAGATATGTGTGTGTGTGTATCAGCAAATACAAGAAAAAATCTTAAAGAAAAATTGAAGAAAGGTGGTTGAAACTACTGACAAGGATAGACGTTCATTGACTATACCAGACTTCCAGACTGTCCTTCTTTCCATTTCTTCTTGGGTTATGCACCCCTTAGAGAAAGCAAGGGCTGAGGGTTATTAAACCCTTTCTCGTTTTTGTGTTGCTCACCAAGCTGCTGACTGGAGTGGCCTGAAATCAAAACAGATTGAAATGCTTCTCGACTTCCCTACTCACCAGTACTAAGTAGAATGGAATGGGAAGCAGTGTCTGTTGGAGTTTTGTCTGGACAGACTAGACAGATGTGCTCCCAGGGTGGAGCTTCTGCAGAATTCTAAATGGGAAGTTCCATTGGCTGAAGTCTAGCTCTGATCAGAATTTTGGAACTTTGTCAGATGGTATCTACTCCAGAGAAACTAGATCAGGTAGTTGCTGATCTCTTCTGGGCATGTGGATCTCAGGAGCCTTCCCAGAATTCTATTTGTAGGTCTGGGTAACCAACCACCCTGGATGAAGTGGGCACAGCGGGTCTCAGACACTCTACTACCTGTGAATATGGCCTTCCTGAGCTGCATCTCAGGTTTCCTGACCCTCTTCAGCTGGTGGTCCAAGCCAACAGACTTGAAGGGAAAGAGCTGTACTCCCTATTGTATCTCTGACCTAAATCTCCATGATTACAATCTTCTCTATGCCTGTTTCAATTGCTAGGTGCACCCTATGCCTCAGTAGACACTGGCTGGGACAGTATGACAGTATTCACAATGCTCTCTTGGGTTCCTGCAGCAACAAGTTCCTTCATGACCTCTACCAGTTGTCTCACTGCCTCAGCTCTTCACTCCCATGTTGAGAGATCCAGGGCATCAGCTTTCTGTGCAGCCTCTGGATCAGCTAAGTTCCAGCTGCCTTTTTATTCTACAGGTGTTCCAGTGCCAAATTTGTCTGCTGTGTTTCTCTCTCCCTTTGTGTTGTCCTTCCTCTCTGCAGTGACCTGGAGGTGCTGCCACCCTCTGTTGACACTGATGAGCTCTTTTTAGTCCTGTTTGAAACACCAGAATTTCTGAGTTTCTCTATGTCTGACCATCCTCTATTGAATTTTGGTGAATTCCCTCAGTCACCCATCCACTGAGCAGTATTCCCATTGCTCAAATCCCAAGCTGTGGAGTAACTGGAAAGTACAGACTTCCTCTAAACCACCAATTTTGTTCTTTCTTATCTCTTATATTGCCTTAAAGAAATATAAGTCTCCATGTATATTTTAGAACATTTTATTTAAACAGGTAATAAATAAGTTTAATAAATAAAACAGACACTTTATTCATTTATGAATTTATCAGCATGATCCTTCACTCAGAATTGTTTCTTACTATGTTGAAAATATTTCATTAAAAATTATAGACAGTGAAAAATAAAAAGAAAAGCACTTGAAAATCCAATGCTTATATACAAGCATAAAAGAAGGAATCAAAGATTCCACTTTAAAATAAGGAAAATAACTTATAGGACAACTGGATAAAAGACAAATACAGTGGTCTTCAAAGTTCCCCACACATACACCACAGCTATCTCCTAGCTTACCACTCACCACTACTCACACTGTCTCACAGGGCTCTGTCACAAGTACTCCCTCACTTGATTCATGTCTTCTCCTGCAACACTTCCTCTTCTTCACCTCAACCTGTTCAAATACTATGGATTCTTCAAGATGTGGTACAACCTGCCTAATAGCTTACATTCAATGGCATAACCAAATATGCTCATAAGCAAGCTTCATTTCATCCTCAAAACAATTCTGATGTAGGGAAGGGAAGGCAAGGCCTCATTCCTCCCATGCATTTTGGGTCTGTAATCACAATCCCTCTTCCTTCCATGCAAAACACCCCTTGTTAGTAAGCAAGACTCACAAAGAAAACACTCATCACTCTTTTCATTGAGATTAAGGGATTGACTGATGCTTGGTATTAGATCTGTGATTTCAGGTAAATGAATAAAGTGTCTAAGTAAACTCATCAATATTTACATATAGAAATTTAATTTGATAGTGGGTTGAAGATGTAGCTCAGTGGTAGAGTGCTTGCCTAGCATGCATGAGGCCCTTGTTTTGATCCCCAGTACAGAAAAAAAATTAATTTGCTAAATTTATAGCTTTATGTATATTATCTTAGTAACATATGAACATCTACAAAACTAAAAAATTATATAAATAAGTACTATGTTTCTTTTGAGTATTTACAATATTGGAATGAAGCAAAGAAGATGCTATACGTGGCATTTTTAAAAATAGTTTTTAGTTGTCAATGGACCTTTATTTTACTCATTCATATGCAGTGCTGAGAATTGAATTCAGTTCCTCACACGTTAGGCAAGCCCTCTACCACTGAGCCATAACCCCAGCCCCTATACATGGCATTTTGCGGTAAATTACTGCCTCAAAAAAAGAACAAGGTGCTGTAATTGTTTATGATAATAAAAAGAATAAATGGAAAATGCTTGTCACTTGGTCTAGATGGAACTGCAGAAGGCAACCAAAGCTGTATTAAGATTCCTCTTACATTCTCTCTATAATAATTAACATGGGGTGCTGGTTCACAGGGCCACACAGACACAGTATTTCCTCCTGATGCCCCTAAGCAAAGATTAAATATAAAGATAACTGCAGGAGTCCCCCACTCACTAAACAATAACAGCAAGATTACTTGAAATAATAGCCAGCTGTAGTAGTGCATGCCTGTAATCCCAGCAACTTGGGAGCTGAGACAGGAAATCACAAGTTCTTGGTCAGCCTCAGCAATTTAGCAAGGCTCTAAGCAACTTATTTCTTAATATTAAAGTTATTTAATTATCATATAATTACATGAACACACATATGTATGTCTTGTCATTAAAATTAGTAAAGACATCAAGATCCTACTCTTTCAGCAAATCACCCATATTTAAAGATGTTTCCTTTGCATACATTTTATGTCCATAAAATGCAGCAGTATAATTGAACATTTCAAGTGGTGTTTTCAAATCTTTACAGTTCTAAATACATTAAAATATATTATACCCTTAAAATAACTGCTTACTATACTACCTCTTTCCTGTTCAAACATTATCTAAATCTGCCAATACAATGTTGAATGAAAAGTCTCAACATGATAACAAAACATGTTGTAGGTGGCACCAAAGACAAATTGTGTTTTGTGCTCCAGGATGAAGTCAAGTTCTTTTGGCTTTAGTGACCAGTGTTGTCTATATTAAGTTTTAGTCTGTCAATATTCTCTAATCTCCCTCATGCAGAAGAATACTTCCTTGATAATGGATTGGCTAATGCTGTCTCTCAGTTACTTTAACACTGAGCAAAGGTTAAATATTTTTTATAGATAAGGTCAATTCAGTAGCTGAATTTGCATCTTCCCAGCCTGTTGCTTCATGGAAATGTTTGTACCAACTATTGTTTTTCTTTGGAATCACTTTTCCACCAAAAGGCATGTGTTTCCAATGACTGTTGTTCACATCACAAATTAATTGGTTACTAAAGTTTTATTTGGAACTTTAGCAATTTATGTAGTAGTTGAAGTATTTACTGAAATAATGTAACACTCTAATTCTCACTTTTTAATTTAAGGATCAAAGTTTTAGTGGAATTTTTCAGTTCAACTAGCACTGAATCTTAAAAGTTGATTTTTAATTGACATGCTATTTCTATTTACGGGGTAAGAATTATTTTTTTAAATTTCACATTTAAACTTGCCTTTGAAAGCATAGTCTCCTTTCAGGCAGGAAGGCATAATAGATTAATTGTTTCAAAATCAGACAGGAAGGTGTATTGCAAGTTTCTCTCTCTGTCTCTCTCCCTCCCCAACCCCTCCCTCTCTTTCTGCCATTTGAGAACAGAAGATAGCTCTCTGAAAACCAAGAAGGCCCTCACCAGACACAGGATCTGACAGCACCTTGGATTTGCTAGCCTCTAGAACTGTAAGAAATAAATGTGTGCTGTTTAAGCTACCAAGTCTATGATCATTTGGTGTAGCTGCCCAAATGGACTAAGATAACCTCTCTCTTACACTTAAATCTTGGGAGCAGGAAAAAAATTTGCCAGGTGATACACAAAGTTTTGGTTAACTGTGGTTGTTTCTAGAAGGCAAGACCGTGTTTGTGGTGTTCTGATTTCCTCAATCTGCATTTGCATTTTACTTTTTAAGATGGAGTATGGACACACACAGGTTAATTGGATACATTCTAAAAGCTGATCTCTGTATCCTGGGTTCACTTGATTGGTACTTGCCCAATTCAACAGTGCTCAACTGTTGTTTTGAAGCTTTTCCCTCCCAAGGCTGACCTGGCCAGCTCTTTCAGCAACAGATGCCGATACTTTCTTCTCAGACAGTTCAAACCCCACTTCCAGTCAAGCACTCCTCATAGAAGATAATTTCAGCATTGTATAGGATCTTATTCCACATACCATTCACATGCATGCATGCTTGAAAACCACTCTCTCTCTAGAGATGGAGACCTCCAGGTGAAGAAAGGTTTGGGGTTTTCATGTGGGAGACAGGATGAGTTTCTTTCTCAGGGTGTGTTGCAAAAAGAGGCAGTACTTTTCCTTGGCAGAAACTCTGCTGTTCCAATCATACACTTTGCGGTTGAGGTCAAGGTGGAGATCCAGAAGTGGGCGTTTTCTGGAGGAAATGAGAAAGGCAAAATTTAATGTCAAGCAAATATCAAAGAGAAGACATATTGTCATTAGGGTAAAATAAGCCAACAGATGTGAAAGTTCTTTGAAATTGTTCCTTTCTAGACATTCCACAAGCTGCTTCAAGAATGATCCAAACCAGTTGGTGGCACTGGTCCAACAGCCACAGTTCCCTCTCTGTAGAGAGCAGAATTTTATTCTGAGAACACACTGGCTGGACCATAACCCACCTGGGTCAACTATGCAAATGCAGGATGGGTGTAAAGGGTCAATAATACCACTGGCCCATAGAGCATCAACCTTTGAAGTCCGACTTGTTCCTGCTAAGGCCCTTCCCTTCCTGCTGCACCACCATGGAGGGGGCTGGGGAAAGAAAGCTGTGAGATTTGTTCCTGGGTCTTCAGAGCTACAACCCAGAATGCATTCAACAGGTGGCTCGAAAATATCTTTCTCAATTATAATTAAGAGGCACTACAAAGGCCACTTAAGGTATACTGTGGCTTCCCTCAGCCTATCTAGAAACCAGGATGCCAGTGTTTCCTTTAGGAAAGCATTCTTGACAATAAACATCAAAAATGTTTACAGCAGCCCCTTATCCACAGAAGAGACATTCTAAGAGCTTCAGTGGGTGCATGAAACCACAGCTAGCACCATATATCTACATTGCATATACTATGCTTTTCCCAAAACTACATACCTATGATTAAGCTTAATTTTCATATTAGGCACAGAAAGAGATTAACAACAACAATAATAAAAATAGAACAATTACAACAATATTCTGTATAAAAGTTGTTTAAAAGTTATGAGTAAGTTATTTCTGTAATTTTCTACCTAATATTTCTAGACTGTAGTTGACGGTGACTGAAGCAAAGCATCAGATAAGGGTGATTACTGTATGTAACAACAATCTGCAGACCTGAACAGTCAGATGCCATTTTTTCACCCATCAAACTGTCAAAACACGGAAAAAAAAAAAGAGCATGCAGTTATCAGTGAGAGTTCAGGGACATAGAAACTCTCATATGAGACTGGCATAAGTGTCCTAGAAGACAATTAGGTCAGAGGTATCCAAAGCTTGCATGCCCTTTGACACAGTGGTTCCATGTCTGGGAATTCACTCCATGGAAACAATTCTTATAAGCAAGATGTCAAGCTGTAAAGATGCTTTTAACCCTTTCTTTGTGTAAAAGTAAAACAGTATCTGATGACTAAGGGTCAGTTGAGTAAAATAAGCAATAGCCATATTGGTACCTGCTTTGCAAAAATTAAAAATGATGTTGTCCCAATGTGACTATTAACATGCAAAAATGTTTGTGATCTACCATTAAGCAAACTAAAAGTAAGTTGTAAAGTAATAGTTAATGATGATTCCATATGGGTTGTATCTAGGATTGTGTGGGAATCCCCCCCCCCAAAAAAAAAAAAATGCCTGGAAGGCGGTACACTAACATTTGGTTAACAGAGGATGGTTCTAGTTAGGAGGATTACAAATGCTTGTTACATTCTGTTTTCAGCATCTATATTTATGATTTTATGTATTGTTCTTGTAGTAAGAAATTTTAAAATTTCTGAGCTTTAAACAAAAATATCCAAACTACAAGCTGGCTAACATAAAGTGTTCGTAAGTTGAACTGGTCTATATTATACCCCTAAGACAAGCCTAATGGGGAAAGAAAAATCCCTTTCCTCCAGGAAGGCATCAAACATGACATCAAACATTTGGTAGCAGGACAATAAATGAGGTCAGGATTGGTCTCCTCGGTAGCTCACCTTTCTCGCTGCAGCTTCTGAGAGAGGCTCTGCAGGTACAAGGAGGGTGAGCTAGAGGACTGCTCCAGCAGGGACACACTAGCAGTGCACAAGCTCCAGAAGAAGTCAGCTTCTCGGTGAACCGTGCTTGGCCCAGGCTTTGGTTCCTTGGATTCCACATTGGTCATCGCTGGACTATCGACCTCCAGCAGGCTGCTGTCTTCCTTCTGGCCCTCAGACACCACATAGTTCTGAATAAAAAAGAGCTTTGGTTTCCCTATGAGGGAAGGACATTTGTCCCCCATGAATATCCTCCTGATATGATGCAAGGATAACTCTGAGTGAGTCTCATCCACGCCAAACACACTTTGGGAGCCTCCTCGGCTCACCAGGACACACACAAAGCTGTCATGGTGTCGGTGTCGGGGCAGATTGGCAACTTGGTGAAGGATATGGCTTATGTCTTTCACATGAAGATGCAAAAAATTTTGGACTTCATAGCCCAGGGAAGTGAAGGTGTGTCGAAGAACTTCTGGAGAAAATAAACAAACATGGAAAACAACACTGGAGTCAGAAAAGCCCAAGAAACTGGAATGCTAGGAACTGGCTATCTAGTCTAGTCTCCTTTTCTTCTTTGTTTCTGTGTGACAGTATTTTAAGGGGCCTGAAAACTGGACAGGAAGAAGAAATCCAAAATATGAAATATGTGACTTTCATGCCCCAGGTTGACAAGGCTTGTCTGTTCTCCACTGACACCACCAGCATATGTGACCATAGGCACAGACAGCCCACTCCAGTCCAATCAAACAAGAAGAACAAAATCTTTTTCTTTTCAACTGAAACAAAGTTGGGGATTTTTAAAAAGGCTCTTTCTTAAAATAACAAGTCTTAACAATAACCCACACATACTGGAATGGAAGTGTTTGTGGAGTACAAATCCAAGCCTAGATCCAAATAGCTGTAGAAATAGCAGCACAGGTCATGAGTTCCTTCAACCTGCCATGGACTGATTCAGAAGCCCTTTGGTTTAAGTCAAGACCATTTCTGGACTTCCCAGTTCCTATCACAATCTGCTTCCCAGTGTGACCAACCTCTGCCTGAGCAACTGAGACTTAGCCAAGATTCTCTAAAATACCCCCAAAGAGTCTTCTCCCAGGCATCCTGAGGGCCAGTGTAAGGTAGTAGCAAGAGCAGACATTAATCCAGACAGCCCTGACCTTACCACCACCTTAGGCTATATGACTTTAAGAAAGTGGGATTCTCTGGCTTTAGTTGGAATGACAACCACCTTACAAGACTGTTGTGAGGATAAAACAGTACAAATAAACTCTTGGTGCTCAGTAAATATTACCTCCTATTCTCTTGTTTAGAATCTTTTTGTTTGTCTTCTAGAAGTTTGGATGGCCCTACAGATGCAACTAAGTTCATTTTTCTCATCTGCTCAGTCTACCCTTAGTGGAGGAATAAACATACCCTCATAAATCAATTTATATATTTTCTAATAGAAAGTAGAAACTTTTTTTCTTCTCCATTCAAAAATCCATGTCCTTTTGACCCACCCATTACACATCTCTAATTTTGTGGCAGAAGTGATAGCATGGGACTGACGAAGCTAGAACATCAAAAGGATACAATTTCCACTTGACTTTTTCTCTCTTTTGAATGCATCGCCCTGTGGGGAAACCAATGCTGCTTCTTGAGAACACGCAGGCACCTAGCACCTTGGAAAGACTCAAACGCAGAATAACTGAGGCCTCACACCAATAATCAGTACCAGCTTCCCGGCCATGGCAATGGATCTCCTTAGCAACAGATCCTCCAATCCCAACCAAGTTTTCAGGGGCCCTTTCTGACAACTAATCACCAGAAAAATGGGCCCAAACAGCCCAGCTAAGCTGATCCTAAATTCCTGATCTACTGGAATTGTGATAAATATAATTAAATAAGTATTGTTGTTTTAAGCTACTAAATTTTGAAGTTATTTGTATACATTGTTAGATAAATAATTCATGAGAAGAGTTCTTTGATTTCCATCAGGAAAAGGGAATGACAGTCACCCTGACTTAAGACTGTAGTTACTTTTTTCTTTTGCTTGTTAGGGTCACAGTTAAGTAGGAAAAAATGAATTATTATATCCTATAATAATGAAGAGATACAAAGAAGGCTAATAAACCTCTAACGAATCAGCACATGATTCTCAGGTTTCTGATAGCCTGTTAACACACTTGCCCTGGTAAGAATGCTGAATGGTGGAAAGGCCTGGCTGCAGTGACCCTAGCCATCTCCCTAGGCTGTGCCCAAGGGTTCAGTGCCCAGTACCATACCTAGGCTGGACACAGCACAGGACAACAAGATAATATAGTCTAAGAGAGCAGCCCTTCTTTCCAAACACTTCCTGTCATGACACACATTTCTCTTCATGGAGTGATCTCTCCTCTAGGGGGCAGAAGCGAACAGGGAAACACCAGATTCAGAGCTCTTTTGTTTACTTGTTATTTCCAGCTGGTTCCCTTCCTTCAAAACCCTCTCTCCTCACTGATAAATGCCCTTCCTTATTACAGTCCTTGAAAGAGAGCTCACCACAGTCTCTCACACGTTTCTATGTGGGAATGGGACTGAAATGTTGTCCTGGTGCCTTCTAGCTTTTTCCTTTATCTGGGTTCCCTGGTGTAGTCCCTGTCATGTGGCAACCTGTAGGCAGCTGGCAAAAGAGGAACCAGTCTTGGAACCACAAGATCAGATTGTAAATTCCAGCTCATGCCCCTCCTCCCGATCCTCTTCCTGGAGCCTCCACCTAGCCTGATCTTAGAAGAGAACCCATCTATACTAGCAGGCGAACTAAGAAGGGAATGGGAATCTGAGGTCTGGGGCAGGAAAACCTTACTTAAGAGAATGGGGGGGGGGGGAACGCTAAAGGCAGAGATGAAACCAAAAGCCATGCTAGTCCCAGATGCCACAACTAAGCCAAGAAAAACACCAAATCTGGATGGGCCTCAACAAGACAGAGTGGCTTTCCAATATCCCTCTGTCAAGAGGGAGTCACCCAACAGACACAGCCCAAAGTCACCACAGCTAACGTTCCTCGTTAGTATATTTTCCTCTGTTAGATGGTGAGGTAGGGTGGGCAGGGATGTAGGCTGGCATTTGTTGTTTTCCTTCTGCGCCAGCAAGAGCAGACAGCCCAACCTAATTTATAGAATGAAGGGGGCTGTGACAGAGTGACTGAGTAAATTACAGCTTCTGTTTATTCATCTGTAAAATGGGATTGATACTAATATACCTAAACCATGTTTAGGTTTTGTTTGTTTTATGTCCTGTGGTGGTGGGGATCAAACCCAGGGCCTCACCCATGCTAGGCAGGTACTCTACCACTGAATCACACCCACAGCCCTTTTAAATCTTATTTTTGAGACAGTGTATCTCTGAGTAACCCAGGCAGCTTCAAACTTGTGATCCTCCTCCCTTAGACTCCCAAGTAACTGGGATATACACTAAACCTTGTTCTTCAAAAGGTATCTGTAAGGAGCCAATGAGATTTCTGTAAAGATGCTTGCAAACTGAATATTTACTCAAATATAAGAGACAAATCAAAAGATTAACGAAGCCATTTCAAACTCCAAGCCAGGGAGCCTGTGAGCCTCTTCATGGAAGCTGTCTCTTGAGACCAGAGGAGGTCTCTACATTCTCATTAAAATGGGCTCAGGGCAGATAGATTCTGTGTCCCATATACCACTTCACTATCATGTCTTCACCAACAAATAGGGGAAGAAAAACTTGGGTGCTGAGTTTGGAAAAAATAAAAAACTTCAACAAAAAGCAGAAATCCACTTCTCTTTCTACATATCCTGGACACCCCACTCCCACCCTAGACCTAGCTTGGTAAATTTCAACTTTGAAAAGACCTTCTAAAATAATGGGTTTTCTTCTTCTGGCTTTGCAGTTAGTACAGGGTTTCTGGTAGAGGGGCCATCATTGGCACTACTCACAGGTTTGGGCAATCATAATTAAGCCTGAGGAATTTAATCCAGTGAAATGCCATGACCTCATTAATTTAAAATTCATTTTTATCTAAATGAGGGCAACTTATCTTCACAATTACCCTGAAAAGGGCTCCATTAATAGAATAAATAAGAGAATTTACAATAATTTATCAAACATCCTTACTAAGTTGGGTTCAATAAACATAAAGCACATGAGCAGAATACATGATGGGCAGGATTTTCTGAGTGGGAAAGGGTGTTCTGAGGTCCAATTGTGTGGAAAATGCAAGATTGACAAGGTTAAAATAGTTCTATGCAGGACTTCCCAAAGACCTTACCAGGTGGATATACTTTTTGAATCTCTAAAAGGGGAACAATTACAGAGCATTTCTCATATTGACTTGACTGCAGTACTCAGCTTTTACTAAGTTTCCACTCTTTTTACCTTATAGAAACACTGGGATACAGATCAAGTACACAAAATCATTCTTGTCCTTAGAGGAGCTTTTAATTCAGGGAAAATAAAGCCTATAAATGTACATAAAAAATGACTGAAATGTCACAAGATTCATGGTTCAATCTAGGAAAAGTAGGTGGTTAGAGAAGCAAGATCAGTGTGATCTAAAACACTGGAGAGGGCACCATGGAAAAGGTATAATTTAAGCTGGGACCTGAAAAAACAGGGCCAAGGACCACCCCCTCCATCACCAAGTAGATTTGATGATGAATGAAAGCAAAGATAGAAGACTGACTGAGAAGGTAGGAGCAGATTTGCCTAGCATATATCAACTTGCACTTGTTCAGCCAAGCCACAGAGGGCTCACTTCTACATACACTCAAAATTATAAACTACTTTTTAAATGTCTTCTTCATAAAGCACAGATGATTACTAGTGATTCCTTCCAGACCAACTTATATTTGGAGAAAATCATATCAATAATAAATATGTCAGCTGCATGTCAAGAGAGGTTTTCAGAGTACCCCAGACAACCTAAAAATACTTTGTTCTTCCACATATCTACAGTCCTTTATCCACAATTGTAGCATCTGAAAAGCTCAGAAAATCTTAAGTTCTTTCCCCAAAATCATTTGGTGGCAAAACCTTTTCTGAACTCATGAGATCTATCCCATTTAGTGGTGAATATTCATTCATTTTGCTACCAAAATATTAACATATTTGACTATGGGGTGCTATCCTGGGCCGCACTAAAGTGTTCTATAAATTACAGTATATGTAGCGTGTCATCTTCCTAAACTCTAGAAACACCTAAATTTATGGATGCTGTGAAATAAGGGATTGCTAAGTAGGACAGCCTCCAAGTGACTCTGCTTTAAAGGGAAGTTCCATTAATGATGGTAGCCTTTCAAGTAAATAGCTGCTTAGTCCCAGAGGATAAGAATGCCCAGGAAAAAAAAAAAAAAAAAGCCCAATCACAGACTCCTGGTCCTTGCCTGCAGGAGGAAGCCTTCCATAATGGTATAGTAACACCAGGAGCGAAAAACAAGGAGGCTCCACTGCCTTGGCTTTCCAGGTGGCCAGAAGCATGCAGTGACTGCTCCATCTGAACAAAGCCTCCATCTACTATCTGGCATGTCACTTGCCACTTGTCTTTGTAGCTCACAAGCAGAGGCCACAGTGGTTGTTCTGATCCCCTCGCAGAGATTTTCCTATAAGTGTTACTACAAGAAAATGCTACTGGTCAGGATTCCACCTATTCCATTAAAATAAAAAGAGGAAAAGGAAGCCAAGAGTTCAAGTTCAAGTCAGCAGCACCAGCAAAGGGTCTCCACTATACTCCTGTTGCCCTGTTAGAAGAGGAAACCTGCAGTGTCTGCTAGAAAACTGAAGAGTTAGCCAGTTTTAAAGCACAGGGGAAAAAAAATCAAGCTTTCCAGAAATAGCAGAGAAGAAAAAAAAGAAAGGGGAAAAAAAAACTTCTTAAAATCTGCAAACACCATCTTTTACTCAGAAGCCTGGAAAACATTGCTTGCCTCCGCCCAACTCCCAAAGTCCACCTATCAGCAATGTGATATATTTGTTTCCACATTCCTAACAAGATCAAGAGTCTGGTACTCAAATGGCCAATCAGGGCCCAGCATAGGCCAGCCTTTGCTAGGTCACTGACACAGGCCACAAGGCACGATAGACTTGTTTTTTAATTCTACCAAACTGACGTAATTAGTCCCAAATCCCTAAGCATTAATGTCTGCCTCAAGAAGAGGTTACTGACCCCTACGAGGATTCTTCTCAAAAACAGATCACATAGAATAACCCTGTCTTTACTCACAGCCTGGCTTCGAAAGCAGACTCCACCTCATTGCCTCCACAATGGCTTTGCACTGGGCCAAGAGTGGTACTTTGTACACAGTAGGTGCTCAATAAACATTTATTGGATAAGAAAAATAATCAGAAAAAAAAATAATCAGAAAAAAACCCCACATAATCGCTCTAGATGAAGACAACCAACTACCAATACGGTGGAAATAAAGTGTGCTGCACCTGATTGGGACGACTTTCTACCAAAGCAGGATTCCAGGTCCAGAGTTCTCAGTGAAAAGTCCCCAGAAGGCGAGGGTGTGGAAACAAAGAACTGGAGGCCTAGAGAGAGTGTATGAGAAGGGGAGATTGTGTCCTTCCACTTCATGATAATTAACACACCCCTGCTGCTCTAAGCCTCAGCTAAGTGAATAAGTGGGTTCAGGGCACACCCCCATTTGAGTAGAAGTGTGTTGTCCTGTTTCCTATCCGTTAATCAGCCACCTGTGCCTCAAGCCAAATTATCTGTTTTGTTCCGAGGGGCAAGAAGGGCTTGAGTCAAAAGAATGCTGATCCTCAGGGGAAGGGCAGTGATGAGCATCTGGAATACCCTTTACTGACCCAAGCCCAATCTAGCCCAGAATTCTACCATTGAGATATTGAACTTGAAAGGAGTCTACTGACCAGGAAGGACTTGCTGCCTGGAGCTACCATTTTGACTCCTGAGGTTCACATACAGACTCATCAGTAGCCAAGGAGCAGGAAAGGGACATCTCAATGCACCCGAAGCCAGTACCTGCTCACATCTCAGGCCAAAGGTATTCCTCAAGCTCTACCTCCAATTCTACCTTCCTTTTCCATCTTTCTCCCTTCTCAGTCTCTGCTCCCCTACTTTCTAGCTTTTATACTTAGATTTTCTTTCTCTGCCAAGCCCATTGAGACTGATGACTGACAGAAGTGCTCCACCTGGGTTTTCCCTCAAGCATTCACCCCCTCTCAGGTAACTGCCTGCATTTCAGGATGCCACACCTGTGGGAACTTGCCCCACTAACACTTGAGCTCAGTGCAGGGCTCAGGTCCTCAGTATCCTGATCCCTCACTTGTCTGAAATCAGATTTCATATGCCAAGCATAAAGCCATGGTGAATGTTTGGTTAGTATTTTGTAACTAAAATGAAACAAAATGAGAAAATAGTGTTAGCTGGCATTAGTACATGGTTACAATATGCCGCTCACTGTTCCAAGCTTTTTATAAGTATGAACTCACTCTGCCCAACCACTCTATGAGATAGGTCCTATTATTAATCCAATTTACAATAGAGAAACTAAGCCTTAAGATACTAGAAAAGTTGCCCAAGGCCACAACCTAGGGCACTACAGATCCATAGTTTAAGCTTATGCCAATTATATTCTAGGACCCAGCTCTGACCACACTCCTACAATGCAGAAAAACACAAATATGCATTTAGTCTCTGTCCACAAAAGACCCACAACTCAGAAAGGAAAGCAAGCACAGACTTTGGACTTTAGCCACAAATAACTGAGTTTTTCAATTCAAAACAGGACATGGCTTTATCTCTATGACTCTTTCAATACAATAGATATTCATAAAACAAAGAAAATCACATCCAGTTAGGAAGTTTTCTGCTGGTGAATCAAACAAGAATGATAACAACTACAAGTAAAGGACAATTACACAATCTCCTTTAAAACAGAAAGTGACTCACTGGAAAGTTATTTCCTCGTTCTTATATGGGCACTAATAGCTAAAAAAGAAAGGACATTTATCTATAGCAGAGGAGACAGCATTTCTCACATCTGACCAAAAATAGGACATGAGAAAGCAGGATCATAGCTGAAATCCTGGGAAATTCAGTCTTGTGTCTGCTAATTTGACCTTCTCTTAGACTCCTTTTCATAAAACTGCCCATGGTAACATTTTAAGTAAAACTAAAAGATAGTTCTGACTCATTCTAAGAGAATGTTGAGAAGCTGGAAAATGTGGAACTATGATGATCATCCCCACAAGGAAGAGATAAATAATTAAACAGAATGTTCTTCCACGAATCTGGGCTCTTGTCGTTCTCTTTTGATGCATCATCAGTGTTTCAGTTTGAGTCAGACCTCCAACAGCCAAGCAAAAGAATCTGTTCAGACCAAAGGCCAGCAGACGTCCAAGAGCCAAGCAAAAGAATCTATTCAGACCCAAAGGCCAGTGACACCCAGGTACATCAACAACCAAGTAAAGGATGCATACCTAAGTGACTCATGGCTCACACAATATTCAAAGTCCTCTAAACAACACACACATTTATCATATATTTCATGTCCCCAAGGAAAGTGAAGATTATCTGATAATATTGGAAGCCAGAATGCCTTCCATTATAAATGTTCCTTGAATCCCAGGACTCCTCCCTGCCATAGTATCCAGGATGGAAAGGCAAGACCAAAGCACCAGCCTTCATTGGTGCTTTAGGGGTCCCCAAATTCATTTCATTTGGGGTCCCCAAATTCATTTCATTTTCCTCCCAACACATAGCTAGACCAATTTATCCATGTCCACCAGTTAGCTGGAGCCCCACAAATGAGTTCTAACCAAGAGAATGTGGGGGAAAATGATGCATATCACTTTCAGATCCAGTCTCTAAATCTGTTATGAGATCCTCCACACATTCTCTCTTTTCTCAATTACCAGCCAGATGGAGAGGACCCTGAAGAAGACTCCACAGCCTTGGAAGGTGATGGAGCCACTGAGTGGCCACGCTGAGCAAAGCTCCCCCATTCCAATCCACACCACACTATGATATAAGTGAAAAACAAATGTCACAGTCTAGGGTGTTTTGTCACAGAAGCTAATGTTGATAACCCTATTGAATACAACTCATCTGTGCCATGATCACACTGGGAAGCATCAATCAATCTGCAGCTTCCACACCTACCTGTGTCATTGCCGATGCAATCAATTATCAAGCAAATTCCAAGGGGCTTGCTCTGCATCTTGTATATCTCTTCAGAGATGTGCTGGAAAGAAAGACAGAGATTGTTAAAGATTCTAGATACTGTTCTGTTTCCAAAAGGTCACACTTATATTCCATCTCTTCTTTTGAAGTTCCTTAAACATCTCTTTGTTGGCTGAATCACTCAGCAGATACAGCCTGAAGTTATCATAGCTGACATTTTCTGTTAATACCAAAATTTTTCTCTATTAGTGTAGTGCTTAAGACAAACAAGTTATTTCAGTTTTTACTTAAGTTAAATGAAAATTATAGTCTTTTTGCATGTCTTAGCTTTACAGAATAAAGATCATTTGAAACAGGGAGAAAAAAATGGATCATATGTCTCCACAGTAACCTAAAGTAGAAATAAATGATAGTTTTCCAAACCAGTACAAATGGTTGTACTGTTGCCTCTTCCTAAGAGAAGAGGTATCAACCCAAGAAAAAGCCAGAACACATCAAAGTTCAGTGTGTTGTCCCTGCCTTCCTGTGCATTCAGTAATCACTCAGCTGAAACAAGAGGTGTCACTTTGGAGTCTCCCTGAATTCCAAAGTTCACTAACAGAATCCACTTTAGTATTTTTCTCTTTGTTAGACTGAAGTTTCCTTGGCAAATGAGTTCTCAGGAGAATAACATGCAGGGTGTCCCAATGTCACAGAGAATTTTTTATGGGTAGTTATTTTTAAAGAAGTCAGTGTTCTCTGCAGACACTGTGCATACAATACAATACCACATCAGATAATTTATTCTGTACCTGAAGGAAAAAAGCTCCTGATTCCTGAATGGATGTCTTTACTGGTTCTCCTGGGGGATGAGAGAGAAATAATTTTTACAAAGCATTAGAAAAAAGTCCACATCAATGCAGGTTGAGTTTCTTTATATCACAACTGTTCTTTTTGCCTATTTTCTTCAACCCTCTCCCTTTCTCTGCCTATACTCAGCCCTGAGGTTCCAATCTTGTACTGAAGAAACTGGTTGCTTAAAAAATAAAAAGCATCCATGCTATACTATGGCTATGCAGAAAAAATACTTAATGGCAAGTGAAAGAAACCTCTCCCTTACCTATCTCCAGGTGAAGACCAGGTGGTCAGAAAGTTTTAACCTGATAAGGAGAATTCAGTATTCTCATCACACAATATTGTATTTTCCTATATGTTCTTAAACTGGACAAAACCTAAAGCAAACAGCTTAGAAAGTGTAGAAAAGGGAATGCTTACATGTGTTTGATAATCATAGAACAGGGAGCCAGTGTTTTCATATTGACATTGAGTTCATATTGACACTAGGAGATCATAAAATAAAAAGCTAATTTGAACCATCTCACCAATGTTTTAAGAAATAGGGTGTTGATTCAGGAATTAATTAGCTTTTCACCAGCCTTTGCTGGAGAGCAGAATACTAGGTAGAGAGTGATAGGCATGAACCACACCATCTGGCTAATTTTGCCAAAATGCTTCTAAGTTTCCAGGTGCACACTGACAGCAGTAGGCTGGGTCATAAGGCATTGGCAAGAGGCCTGCCACACAAGGCTCCCATCAGGCCACGGCCCTACTTAAACGTTCATGATCCCCTACTAATCAGAGGACAAATTCCAAGCTACTTGCATAAAACTGCAGCCCTCCATCACTGCCCATCAGTCCCTGATTCCTGATGTCCTCTAGCACAACTGGCTGCTTTATCAGAGTAAAAGTGAGTCTCAGCCCTCACTTCAGGGAATCCTCTAGACAAGCAAAAGAAGAAACATTTTAAAAATTATGTTGTGGACTCAGGCACAGTCTGTAATTCCAGCTACCTGGGAGACTGAGGCAGGGGGATGGCAAATTCAATGCCAGCCTGAGCAGCTTAGTAACTCTGTCTCAAAAAATAAAATTTAGAAAAGGACTGTGGATGTTGCTCAGTGGTAGAACACTCTGCCTAGCATGATGTCATTTGATCAAGTGCTGATGTCTTAAGAGAAGAAAGACTGCATGGGTTGAAATAACCAATTTTTTAACTTTACTTTTTTTCTTTCCTCTTAGGAAAGGGGAATATCTTTTATAGGGCATCCAGATTTTATTAAATGGTCTATAAAGCAAGAACCTGTCAACCTTTCTTCTTCCTGCTGCTAGGTATTTGGTTTAACATAGCTTATTATCATAGCTAGATTATTAATATTAATATGGTCTGGTCATAGCTTCATTTCAGGTTGATTGATGTCACATCTCTTAAAAATATAACCAAGATGATGCACCCGATGGAGTAAGATGGTATTCAAATTTAAATGAACTAATTCAAGAAGTAAGTGCCAGTGAATACATTTTAAGGATTTAACTCCTTTTGAGAGCTTAATTAGAAGGAGTAGATAAAAAGTCAACTCTAAAAACGCAATATTTTACTTGAATTATCAAGCATTTATAAAAAATTAATATAAAGAAAAGTTGGTCTTACTTTGAAGGAGTGGCCAATGTCTTTGTCCTTTACTTCTCCCATTCTGGAGCTTCAAATATAAAGAATAAGGTCACTCTGTTAGTTTTTTCAGAGGCACACTATATTACATCTCTATAAATATCTCAATAAGATCCTCCCAGGAAAAAAATAAAAATATCCCCTTCACAGTTATCTAAAGAATAGCAAGAACTGTTAACTCCATAAATCCCATGTTATATATTGCTAACGACCAAGGCAACTCTTTCAAAAGACAAAAATACAATGAAACTGTAAATATGCTAAATTAGCATATTAGAATGTTTCAAAACCACATGTTATAGTATAGTATAGTTGTTATACTAACTCCAAGTTAGAATAAGCTACTGGAACATAAGGTTGGCATTTAGCCTATTCTTTTAACATAGGGTCAAAGTACAGCTTGGCTTAGAGTACAAGTTCTAGGCCAGACATACCTGGCTACACATCCTGATTCTGTCACTTAATGGCTATGTAACATTGAACAAGTCATTTAACTGGGTCTATGATTCTATGTCTGCAAAGTGAGGATAACAATAATAATATAGATTTTTTTGGTCACAATTAAAAGACATAAGCACTCAGTACAGTGTTAAGTGCACAAAAGTACTTCATAAATGCACAATTATTGATTTTCTATAATTGGTTAGCTACACATAAGAAAAATGTGGGCCTGATTCTTTTATTTTTAATTTTTTAAGTTGTAGATGGATACAATACCTTTATTTTGTTAATTTATGGGACTGATTCTTAATTATCAAGAATTCTTGGACTGGGGTTGTGGCTCAGTGGTAGAGCACTTGCCTAGCATGTGTGAGGCACTGGGTTCGATTCTCAGCACCACATACAAATAAATAAAATAAAGGTCCATCAAAAATTAAAAAAATATTTTTAAAAAAAGAATTCTTGATAATCACTTCTAAGGGCTAGAGTGGGATTAATCAGAGAATGAAAGATTGAACCTTTCTCTTTTCAGATGACAGGTCCTGTGTAAGGTACATACCACATACTGTCAACCATGTGATATGCTCAGCTCGCAAACAATAATTCTCTGAAAGTATCCTAGCCAAAAAAAAGAAGTACACTATCTGTTAAGCTGTATCTATAACTAAGTCTGTGTATCCAAATTTTAAAAAAACATGTAAATTGTTTTTTTCAGAAAGAATCCATGACTTAGCCAAAGGCTGATCATATTAGATAGAATTTGGTCCCCCACTTGAACGTGCATTCACTTTTACATACTATAAAAGAGAGAAAACAAAATCAAAGCTATACTTTAAAAGTATTATAATGTAAAGTCATACAACTTTTTTATTCTATAATATCTTGGGGGCTCAGGATGTGGCTCAAGTGGTAGCACGCTCACCTGGCATGCGTGAGGCACTGGGTTCGATATTCAGCACCATATAAAAATAAAATAAAGATATTGTAAAAAAAAATATCTTGGCATCCTGTGTAAATTAATGTCATTGTAATTTTTTGAAGCACTTTTACAGTGTCACCTAATCTAACATCTAGGTATTCAGTTCCTAAATCTTGTGAGAAAGTTACCAAGTTCATAGGTCATAGTATCTGCTTACTAAATGAACAAACCATCAGGGCCACATATTAAATATAGCGAGTTTAAGAAGAAATTGGAGCAGAAAGCATATGGCTTCCCAACAGATTACATATACAATGAATATACTTACCTGCAAGTGAAAAATAGAAACACAACAGTAAAAACATGGTAGGATTTTAACTAACAATGATTAGATAGACAATAGAAGACTAAGCTCAGAAAATCTGGTCTGAATTCTAAGTGTGCTTCGTCTCACGACTTGGTAACAGAGAAATTCAGGACAAAAATGAAAACTATATCTAAGCTATGGCATGCCTATAATTTATTACCTATATCACAAGGTAGTAGGAGGATCATGGAGCAGGCCCATCCTGCCAGCAGTTAAAGGTGAATAATCACTCACTGTTTCCTTATTTTGTTCGATGAGCACTGGGACATCCACTTTAGCTCTGAAATTCTATTGCTCAGTGGTTATCCTGACAGCTCATATTCTTCAAGAAACTATTTACATTACAGTAGTTAATGTTTTCATCATATACTTTTTAATGAAATTCTTTATAATTTAATCATGAAAATGCATTCTGGCCTATGACCTCATTACAAATTCCATATAACTTTATATGGACAAAGACAAGATTACACCAATGCTGGGCTGGGGTTGTAGCACAGTAGTAGAGTGTTTGCCTTGCATGTGTGAGGCCCTGGGTTCAATCCTCAGGACCACCCCCGCAAAAAAGATTACACCAATGTTCTTCTCAAGATAAAAGATTAACCAAAAACAATTCTGATGAGTCCTGTAAAACTTACTACTAACACAATAACCACCATAAGTGACTATGTCATACTTGTGTTTGTGAACCAAAAAAAAAAAAAAATCTTCTATTTTATTATTCAATAACAAAACACTTTTGCAAAAATTATTAGAACAACCTCAGTAAAAAAGCAAATGCACAGAGAGGTAAGCCATAGGGATATTTATTTTTCAGCATTGTTATAGTAACAACAATTGAAAACAATATAAATAACAATAAGCAATATTGATATACATCCATAAGGAATAAACACATTATGATACACCTAGAAAATTAAAATCATTCAAAATAATGATTAAATAGAAGCGGTCCCACCTGGATCATATGGAACAATGCTCAAGAATTTTTGGATCAGGACAATGGTCATGATATGATACCAATTGTACAAAAGAAAAAATGGAATATATATGCACGTACTAGCCTCTGTACGATTACAGAAGAAACTGATTTAACAATAGCTGCTTCTAGGGAAAGAACTGGGGGTCAGTATTATGTGGGAGGAGGGAAACTTACTTTTAAAATTTATTTTAGTATACTTTGAAATTTTTGTCCATAGGCACATCCTATCTATTTTTATTTGAAAAATTAAATTTTCAAATGAATAATGAAAATCAAGTTCAACTACACATATAGACACACAGGCTATCATCCATGAAAAATAGACTAGAAGAAAATATTTCAAAATAATAACAGTAGTTGTCTTTGAGTAGTAGGAGGTAGGTGATTTAGTTTCATCCTGGTATGTTTCTCTCTATTTTCCAGATAGCTCAATGAACACTTTTTAGCTTTGTAATCATAAAAAAGTTATACATAAATTTAAAACATATATACATTTCTATAACAATTTGTTCAGATATTAAATATATACTAGGAGAATACGTATACTTTGATTAAAACTCTGTAACTGTTTCATGCTGGAAGTCCATATATTTGCTCCAGACTCACCCTTATGCTATATGAAGGATCTTTGAGACTCAAGTTTGGGAGAGAGGTGTGGAGAGAATTCACACAACTTGTTCCTGCTCCTTTCATAGCTCCTTGAGCTATAAATACAAAAGAGAGTTCTAGTTAAGATATATAAATTATTATTATATATATATATATTATATCAAATGAATTTTATTATTATATATATCATATCAAATGAATCTTCAACAATGGTTCAGCTCAAGGTCAATCCTCATCTTTCAACTACCCTAAATTTTCAACCACATAACTAAATTCAAAATATCATCTTAGATGACTCTTCTACCAAGCATCAGTAAGGATGGATTAAAACTGCTTCTCCTATTCTTGACTGTCCATCATTTGAAAATGTGAGGGTAGGAGAGTACTATATAGATCAGTGGGTCTCAGCCAAGCCCCACGGTGGTAGTCAACTGCTAATGCAGCCCACATTCAGGCTGATGCTAAAAGACAATGGGGGTGGGAGTATGAGGGAGAAAGGCAATGTGACTCTGATCCCCCTTTATCAAGGAAGAAATTGCTCTTTTCCATGAGGAGGGCTGAAACTTGGAACATATCCAGGACAGCTCTGGGACCTCAGTGACACACCCAGACTTGGATGGTGGTCATCAGGCTGAATACTGGAGACAAGCAGTAGGGTAGCATCCCTAAATGTCCATAGCTTCACCAGCCTGTGAAAATTAGGGTACAGACTCTTTCTTAAGGGCCAGAATGTTAAGAACTGCTTGGTGACATTTGACAGAGGGCTGAGACCCTGTGGTGGTAAATATGGGCAATGGAGCTGACAGATCCGGGATATGAGGATGGAAATGGATGCGATCTGTAGCCACAGGCTAGAGCTGGCTGTGGACTTTCAGGTTCCATTCTATCTACCCATCTGACAAATCAGTCTTTACCAATCATAACTACTAGACTCAGAATATTTGCTTTAGATGACTAAGAGGCCAAAATTCTTCTTACCAGACTGCTTGTACTTCTGGATTTTTGTCTTCAGGTCTATTCTGTGGATGTTCTTTAGACATTCTTCTAATAAATCCAATTGATCTGGAGCAATCAAATTCAGTTTCTCCAAATCAACCACCAGATCCAAGAAACTCTAAGAGAGCCACCAACAAGGAACAAGCATCAGTGGAGCTGATTGATAAGATCCCAAAGCAAACCCCAGCTCAAGTGATTTATAATAGCAAGAAAACATGAAAAGATGAGCCCTCTCTGTGACCTTCAGTGATTCTAATCTGGATACCTCTGTCCTAAGCAAATTACCCTCTTGAATTTTAAATTTAAAAAAAAAAGAGGTGGTAACTTGTCCTTCAGTCACCAATGTATCTCTAAGTTGATGATAGACACATGGGCCATTTTGTGTCATCAGGGTATATTATGAAAATGCAGGCCTAAAAATAAAACCCTCCTGAGATCCTTCTCTTTCAGAAGGCCAGGTTGGAGTCATACTGAAAACTTTAAGGACTTCTCTGAAAAGAGAGAACAAGAGGGAAGCTGGGAGAAAGATTTTAGGAGAAAAAATCCTCGTAACACAACTTTAAAGTTCTTAAATTATTTTAATCAGACATTCCAACTCATTCTGACTCAGGGTATTGTGGAGAGGTAAAATCAGAACTAAGTTTAGCTATTTTGCTGTTGGTTTGCCTTGAGCAACAGACACTGTCAGAAAAAGAAACTGCTTTGTATTTTATTCCTTTTGTGTTCATCATTTGTTTACCAAAGTGCTATTTTTATTTTTAAAAATAGTAAACATAATTTAATATATGTAAATGACAAGGGAGAAGTTGATTAGGGGAAATAAAAAAAAAAGAACTTCTGTTTTTACTTTTCTTCTCATTTTGCATTTGACAGAGAAATGCAGTCATCCTGTTTTTTTTCAGATTTCAGAAATAGAACTAAGATCATTAAGAAACATGAGAAATTTCTTAAGTAATGACTAACCAGAGTCCTTAGATGCAGTCTGGCCACGTGGAGGACCTATTGTCATGTACTAGAAATGCAGACTTATTGGCCTGTCCTGAACTCAGCAATGCCAAGTGGGGTCAGCTAGAATTTAAATACTCTTCCAGCAATCATGACATCACTAAGATCTTCACCCCATCTGGCTTCAACCCTAAATCTCTCCTTTAGCCATTTCCCAGATAATATCAGGCACAAGGACCTGCCCCCTCATGGCCTCCACATGTAGCCTCATGACCCCATACTGACCCTGAACTAGCTGAAGAGAAATAGACGGCAGCAGGGGAGCAAGATGGGAGTAGACTGGCCCTTCCCACCTGGCTCTACTCAGCACAAGCAAATGGGACTTCCTAACCCTGCCAGACAATCTGTCAAATCAGGGAGGAAAACTGATAATACATGCCAGGTCTGTGAAGTTTACAGATGAATCTTTCATCAAGGATGAAACACCCAAAGCTACATCAGAAGTCAGTATCCTTCTATTTCTTCTCATTTTAGAAACCAATCCTTTTGCCATTGGTGTCAGGAGAAAGTCACATCAGGTGTCTGACTCCCACTAACGCGGTGGCGACAGACTGCCTGCTGCCCTCCCTTCTGTACTGCAAGGTACAGTCTCCCCTGCTGACAGGCTCTGGAGAACATGACCCAAAAAGAGAAAACTCACCTTGTCCTTGGAGACCTTGCCTCGGCCTGTGTAATCCCTCATGAGGAAAATCAATGCTGATACATCTTTTTTATCCAAATTCTCACCAATCTCCACCATCAGCACCCTATAAACCAGAGAAGTTGCTTTAGTAAACTCAAATGAGTCCTCATGAAAACTCCAAGAGCCCATGCCTCCCCCATGCTGGTTGAAAGACTAACTAACTGGTTGAAAGACTAACTCTTGCCCCCATGTGAACATGCCCCCCCCCCGGCCCCATAAAACAGAAAGCTTAGATCACCCAAGAAAGAGATCTTAAGGTGAAACTCATCCTTTCCTATTTTCAACAGGGCACGGTACCTCCCTTTCAACTAACAATTCTGAAAACAACTCAGAGAATAAAAACTTCCCTGAAGAATCCCCTAGCTTCCCCACAAGTTACAGTGAAATGAATTAAGAACCCAAATGACTACCATGTAAGGCAGAAATAGAATTTGAATTGGCCATCTTCTTCCCCTGACAAGCTTCCAGGTGGTATTGATTCAGGGGCCATCATCACAAGATTCTAAAGCAAAGAAATGCCTGGGATATCCTGGCCCATGTTTGAATGCAAAAGGCAAAAGGTGTCTACATCATGGGGATTCTGACCTGAGATGTCTTGGTCTACAAAGTCCTGCTGACAATCACCTCTGCTCCAGTTAGAGCTCCTAGGATGTCTTGTGGTTAACATGACTGCCAGCATATTGTCATCACTGCTTAGAAGGTCGTTTTCCCAGTTAGACTCCCAGATTCTTAGGAATGGGAGATTCTTCATTCATTTTTCCCCAGAGCTCAACAAACACCAGGCACACACTGCTACACATTGAAGCCTGCTCAACAGATGGATGAAGAACCCAGAGCTCCAGCCTCTCTTCCAGAGAGCCTGATGCACTATTTCCACTCCAAGAGATGCAGAACGGAGAGAGCACACTACTAGTCTCTGAAACCCAGTCAGAGCCTCCCAGTGTGAAGAAGGTGCATGACATTATATAATGGTTGGACACATGGAAAAAGATCAAGAATAATAACAACAGTAATCCTTTGCTTCCTGCAGAATGCTTCATAATTAAAAATAATAATAATTTGCTGAAGCCACAGAGGCACATTCCTGTAATCAGGGTGATTTGGAGGCTGAGACAAGAGGATCGCAAGTTTGAGGCCAGCCTCAAAATAAAAAATAAAAAGGGCTTGGTATTTAGTTCAGTGGCAAAGCACCCCTGGGTTCAATCCCAAGTATCTAAATAAATAAATAAAAACAAAGAAGCACATGATCAATTGGTGCTCACAATAGCCTTCTGAAGTTGGATATTATTCTTCTTCAGTTTACAGCCAGGAAACAAAGGTTCAACCCAGGTTAGTGACTGGCCACCCTGCAGGGCATATAATTGTAGATGTGAGACTTGAAACAGGCCTTGCAGCCTCAACTCTGTTACACTTTCCAAAGCCCACACTGCTTTCAGCTCTCTTTAGTACAGTTCTTGATAATATATATCATTTCCAAATAAACATTATCGATTGAACAAAAGGCTGGTGGCCTGGAGAAAGAAGAAACAGCAGCTTAGGAACAAGTTCTCTTCCTCCCCCACCAGAAAACTCATTCTTTCCAATGACTTCTGTGCCCCTTTTGAACCTTTAAGACATACCCTGTGAGCAGGAGGAAGAGGCGCCTGAACTTAAGAGGACCTCAGCTGCTGTTCTCCCTTTTGACCTGAAGGGGGCTTAGGAGGCGGTCAACTGAAGAGTTCCCCAGGGTCTCCCAGGGCAGGACCACCAGAAGGAAACTCACCCCGCTAAACTTCCTCTGCAGGGCAACAACTGACAGAAAGTCAGGGTGTCATGGAGTTCCACAAAGATAGGAAGATTATTATAGACTTGTTATTTCCTTTCTCAGTTCCGGAAATTGTCAAAAAAAATGACATCACAGAAAATCAGCTAGCAACACCACTGCGGCTCTCACACTGCCAGGAGCTGGCAAGAATTACTAGCTCTCAGTGGTTCCCATCTTTCTTCCTTTCTTGTCATTCTGTCCTTCAGGCAAACATGTACCATCTGTCCCTTCCACTGTCATTATGCTCTTCTACCCAATTCCTTCAAGCAAGCGCATTTTAAGAATTCAAAGAGTTCAAAGCAATGGAGTGATATCAGGTAGCACTTGGATGAGAGGGAAAAGAAAGTGATGTGGCTGCTCTTGTTACTGTCCTTATTTTTGTCATTCAGTAGAGCCTAGGCCACCTCACGCCCTCCCACCGGTCAAGCCTGCAGAGGAGCTGATGATTTACCTATAGTCCGAAACAAGGTGAGGATGGCTGCGCAGGTGAGCCTCCACGGCTGTTCTGTCCATCTTCAAAATTCGCTTGAGCAGGTCAAACCGCCTCACTCTGTAGAGCAGCTCTGCCAACTGCACCACAGACAGCTTCCCTCTCTCACATAAAATATCCAGAAGGTCCCTGACTGTAGGTGGAACTACATCTGCAGTAATATCCAGACACAAAAAGCACAGCATCTCCTTTTCTTCTTCATCAAGTGCCTCTTCCACCTGAAGAATGACCTCGGCAGACGTCTGGCACAGTGCCATCCTAAGGAACAGTAGTACAGTGCTCAACAGAGAGCCGCGAGGTCACCAACTTCATTTCTGAGGGCTTTCTTCATTTCTTTCAGAGTTCTTCCCAGTGCAGAGGTTCTGTGGTAAGAGTAGATTTTTTAAATCCTTTTATCAAAGTAACTTATGGTTTAGATTCATAGTTTTTCCCTTTCTTGCTGGTCTCCCTAACCTGATAGATTGAATTCATATGTTTTAAGTCTACAGAGAGAGAGAGAGAGATCCTCAGTAGACGAAGCCAAAACCCAAGACTAATCTAAAACCCAAGACAACCAGAGAAAAAGATCTACATGGTAAAGGAAATGAAACCTAAGACAAAATTTTCTCCAAAAAATCCCACATGCTTTGTCAGACTTATCAGAATGTAAAGCAGGGTAAGGGAAAATCACAAGTAGGGAATTAATGACTAAGTTCACGAGTGCCCTCAGTGGGAGGAAGAGGAAAAAGCTCAATGACTAAGGAACTGAATACAGAAACTGGTGTCACAGGGGTTAGCTTCTACATGCAGTGATTCCCCACCCACGTGGACTTGGGCCAATGCAGGTCTTGTAAGACGCCCTACTCTCTCTGTGGGGTACCAAGAACAAGAGGGAAATAGCCTTCTGTCCCTGCCCACCCATTGTCTTCAGTTGCTCTTTAAAACCTGCACTCACACCTGTAGCTCAGCCTCTAAAGCCCAAGCCCTTTCCCAACTTCATCTGGATGCACATGGGACTTGGCACTGGGCTGAGAAAAGACCTTGCGAGGTTTTGATCGGGCGTTCAGACCCTGAGCCCCATGGATATGCCAGATGCCCCAAACTCTCAGTAGACTGCTACGTGACTGCAATTGCAATTAGCCCACCCCTGATGGCATCAGTGGAAGCAAGGAATTGGTGCAGGAGACCCAGGGAAAGATCTCATCCTGGGGATGCGGTCTGAGTGGGAGTTGGGAAGTTCATTCTTGGGGTGTGTTCTTAACTTCTTCCATTAAAATTCAACATTTTTTTTTCAAATTTTAAGTTGCAAATGGTGATCACTATCTATTCTACTTTTAAGTTTCATAGTTTTAATTTATGCTAAATCAGCTCTTTTGTTCTGGGCAAGTTCCTTACCTATTCCTATAAGACAGTGTTCAGGTTAAGACAATCTTAGCAAAAAATAAATGAAAACACATCCCGACTCTCTGCGTACAAGTATATTTGTCTAGTTTGGGAATGGCTGTGTGGATCCTGTGTCCATTCAGCCAAACTTCATCGAAGTATGGTTGTGTGTGAGTAAAGGGAAAAATGAAATTTACTAAAATGACTACTCAAAGTCAAAAATTGGTACTCAAAATGACTTTATTTTTTTGTCTGAAATTTGAACACTAATTTTAGTGTTTCAGAAAGAGTAAAATCTACACTCACAGACTAATAGTACTTTAACCTAATATGCCAGTTTCCATGAAAAGAACACCAAGTTTGGACTAGGGCTGTGGCTCAGCGGTGGAACGCTCACCTATCATGTGTGAGGCACTGGGTTCGATCCTCAGCACCACATAAAAATAAATAAATAAAGGTGCTGTGTCCATCTACAACTTAAAAATATATTAAAAAGAAAAAAAAAACACCAAGTTCTTTTTATACTGTACTCACTAAAAGCCACAATCTCGTGAGTAGATGTTATTATAAACTACTATCTAAAATATTTGTATACACTAGAAGAAATAAAATAAGAGGGAAAAATAAAATAAAATAAATACAAGGTCATTAAACACAAGAGTAAGAAATATTATCCAAGTTCACTAGACACATTTGAAAATGAACCAAACAGAATTACCAGAAATGAAATGTTTAAGTCTCTATTTTTAAAAGTAGTCCTCTATATAATTCGTCATTATCAGTGATATAATGATGCCATCAAGAGTTAACAAAATTAGATAATTCTTTAAAAAATTATCCGCTCAGTTCCTCTCCAACAGTTATACCCACGACTGCTTTCTGCCAGTCACGCACACTCAACAAGAGCCCTGGCATGCTATCTTCCCTCTGTGCTAACGAGGGTATAGTTTGGCAGCAAAATCCAAATTACTCAGTGGTAGCATCTGGCACACTGAGAGAAAATACCAAAAGAAAAATACAGATCCCTACATGGAACCAGGCCACCTAGATGCAGTATAGGCATGCTGGGACCATGATGGGGGCAGTTAACTGTGGCTAGAGATGTCACGATTGAGAAAGAAAACCATATAAGGGAGAGGTCAGGCTAGGATCCAAGTAATCATGACTTGGTTGGGGTTTCTTTAAACTATAGGCAAGAAATGAACATAAACATTACTCTAAGACTAGGGAAGCCCTTAGTGTCTTCAGAATCAAACACAAAACCTACTCATAGGACCACCTTCCCAACCCAGAGCATGAGAGATTCCAGGTGAAGAACTTCTTGCAGAAGGTAAATGCATGTTTAAAAACCACTATGCACAAAAATAAAAATCACCATGACAGTAGACAAAACAAACAGAATTCGCATCCTAGGAAACTACATCTGAAAGAATTTAAAATAAGTTATCTTAAAATAAATTTAAAGACATAAGGGAAATTTCTGCAATATTATAGGTGCCAGATCAATGGTTCTTATCCATGGCAGTTTTGGACCTCAGGGTTAATTTGATGATGTCTAGAGACATTTCTGGTCACCATCTCCAGATGGTGCTACTAGGATCTGGTGTACAGAGGCCAGGGATGCTATTAAACATCCCACTATACGCATTCCCCCACAACAAGGAATTATCCAGGCAAAAAGCTCACAGCACTGAGGCTGAGAAATCTTGTGCTAAATAATCTAGGAGAAAAAAAAAACCTGTGGCTATAATGTATGTAGCGATGTGGGATAAGACATAAAAACATTTGCTCAAATACACTGTTGAGATGTTAAGAAAATAAGTAAAACTGTAGGAAATCAAACAGAAAAAAGAGCTAAGAACACTACAGTGATATTGTATATAATAGCATCAAACATAACATAGAAATGATTCCAACAAAAGATAGGCAAGACCTCAATGGAGAAAAACCTATATATTATTGAAAAGACATAAATAAAGAACTAGATAAATGGAGAGCCATACTTTGTTCATGAGTAGAGAGATCCAATATAATAAAGATGTAAGTTCCCTAAAAAACTGATGTATGGATTAAAAGCAAGGAATTTATCTTATTAGACAGCAGCCTAAAAACAGTTAAAGAGTAATTACAAAAAAGGAGAACCCACAGCAAATATGGTACTTAATGGCATCACGTTAGAAACATTTCCTTAAAATCAGGACTGAGACAAAGATGTGCATGATTATCCCTTTTATTCAATATCATACTGAAGGACAGAGCCAGCACAATAAAATGAGAAAGAAGAAAAGATAGAATATCAGCACTTGGATGGAAGAAATGACTATCATTATTCACTTTCTACACAGAAAACTCAAGTATATTAATAAGCAAAATGTTAGAATTAATAACAGATTGAAGTTTTTGAGATACATGATCAATAAATAAAAGTCAGTTACATTTCAATAATTAGCAAAAATAGGAATAAGAGGTAGATTTCAAAAAGACAGTACTTAAAATAACATCTATAAGTCACATAGAATAAATCTAATGTTTGTTAGTAAGACATTTAAAGAACAAATTATTTTATTGAAGACTTCATTGAAGATGGAGATAACTGAAGAAATCAATATCTTCATTATACCTTAATCATGGACAGAAAGCTCAATATCACAAAGATACTGAATTTCAAACACATTTGTAAACTCAATATAAGTCCAATCAAAAAGCCAAAAACAAATTTTCCATGGACCTTGGCAAGCTTATTTTAAGTTTATATGACACAGGAAAAGAGAAAAGCAACTAAAACACTTAAAAAAATTCAAACCTCAATAGTAGTCAGACAAGCGCAGACTTAAACTATAATGAGATATTATTTCACATTAGTCAAATGTTAATATCTACTGCTAAATGTCAGAGAAATATGAAATTGTATGTATTACTGGAGGAATTAGCAGCACAATACACAATAGCTAAATTGTGGAACCACCCTAGGTACCCTTCAGTAGATTAATGGATAAAGAAAACGTGGTATATATACACAATGGAATATTACTCAGTATTAAAAGAGAATAAAATCATGGTATTTACAGGTAAATGGATGGAGTTGGAGAATATAATACTAAGTGAAGTAAGCCAAACCCCAAAAACCAAATGCTGAATGTTTTCTCTGATGTAAAGATGCTGATTCATAATAGGGATGTGGGGACAGCATGTGAGGAATAGACGAACTTTAGATAGGGTAAAGGAGAGGAAGGAGAAGGGAGGGGGATGGGGGTAGGAAAGATAGTGGAATGAGATGGACACTAGTACCCTAAGTGCATGCATGAAAACACAATGGTGTGACTCTACTTTGTGTACAACCAGAGACATGAAAAATTGTTCTCTATTTGTGTAATATGAATTGAATTAAATTCTGCTGTCATATATAAGAAATTAGAATAAGTAAAATAAATTTTTTAAAAATTGATACAGCTACTTTGAAGAACAATTTAGCATCATCTGGTAAAACTGAAAACACATACTACTCCATGACATGAAAATTTCATTCCTAAATAAATACCCTTTAAAAACTTGCAGACAGGTATATCAAGAAATGTCCAAAATGTTTCTCGTAGCAGTGGATATTACAGCAAAAAGAAAAAAAAAAAAAAGGAAACCACCCAAAAGTCCATCAAGAAGAGATGAAGCTGGGTACAGTGGCAAATGTCTGTAATCCTAGTCACTCAAGAGGCTAAGGCACGAGGATCATGAGTTCAAAGCCAGCCTCCACAACGTGGGGAGGCCCTAAGCAACCCAGAAAGACCCTGTCTCTAATAAAACATAAAAAAGGACTAGGAAAGTGGCTGGGTGGTTAAGTGACCCTGGGTTCAATCCCTAGTACCAAAAAAAAAAAAAAAAAAAAAAAGAGAGAGAGAGAGAGAGATTGAAAAAAATATTATATTTCTTTAATGAAATGTTATGCAGCACTGAAAATGAATGAACTATGGAATATATGAATCTCACAAGACCCAAAAATTTTTGTTGAGGCAAAATGGAAGATGCTAAAATATATATATGATATGATTAATTTACATAAGATTCTAAATATCAAGAAACCACTAATACCATATATTATTTAGGGATATATATAGTGAAAATATTGAAATTTACATTATAATAATAAATTCTGAATTCAGTAAAGTGACTTCCATTTTGTGAAGAAGGGAATGTGACTAGAAAAGAATACAAAGGAGAAATGGCTAAATTTGTAATATTTTTCTTCATAAGTTTAGTGTGACAGGTATACAGATACTAAAATAAATATGTAGTAGTCCCCCATTATCTGCAGGAGATAAATTTCATAAGCTCCAGTGGATGCCCAAAATCATGGATAGTACCAAACCATACATGTACTAAGATTTTTCCTAAATACACATAACTATGATAAACTTTAATTTATATAGTATATACCTTAAGAGATTAACAATGATAACTAATATAAAATAGCCCAATTAAAATAATATACTGTAATAAAATTGCCAGCATCACTACTTTGTGCTTTGGGGACATTTTAAGTAAAATAAGTGTTACTTCAGCATACACACAAGACAGCTACTACTCGACTAATGGGAGGGTATTACATACAGTGTGAAAACTCTGGACAAAGGGATAATTTACACCTCAGGCAGGACTAAGCAGGATGCTGTAAGATTTCACCGCACTACTCAATTGGTTCACAATTTAAAACTTATTTCTGAAATTTTTCATTTATTATTCTTAGATTACTGTGGGTAACTGAAAACACAGAAAGAAAAACCTCAGATAAGCAAGGACTAATATAACTCATACCACAGTATAATAATAAGTCAAAAGGAAATCTTATAGTTTTAGAAACTGAAAAATTAGTTCCCGTTTCTTCTGCACTCAGCCTTTACCAGTTTGATTAATAATTATCATATAAAAGAATACAGTTTTGAAAAAAAAAGTCATACAGAAACTATCTCATAGCATCTAAATAGCTCTTAGAGCTTCCTTGATGTGAATGTACCTTAGAACAAGAAAGCCTTCAGTTTTCTCAAAGTTATCTTCAAAAACAACAGGACAGGTTTTATTTAACATGGTTCCAAGGATAAGGAGTGTGTAGAAAGCTCTATACAAGGACTTGTACCCATCAGTTACCAACCCCATCCTGCCTGGAGAGGTTAAGGACCTGTCCAAGTCCAATTCTTTTTCTTCCCTGCTTTCAGATACACAATCCTGCATGGTCAATATATCCATTTGTTTCATTTTACCAGTGTTTCAGACCATTTAGCCTTCTCTTGCCAAACAAAACTGGCACCTGGGTGATTTCTAGAATTTTTAAGTGTAGCTTTTCTTCAGGCACATTCAAATTCAGTGACTGTTTCTCCTTCTTTTCCACTCCCACACAAAGTCTCCAGGTTAGTACAAACTGTCTGTAACCTTCACAACCAGACCAGCTAACCCCTAAGTCCAGTTTCAGTTTTCATTTCTCTGCTAGAAATCATGAGGCTATTGCCAATGATTGTTTAAAGTCCCAAACAAAGCTTACATAAAACACTGAGCAAAGCTTACATAAAACAGCTGTTACTGGCTCACAAAAGGAGCATGGGGCTAGAGGAAGGGGCTCTAGGCTGAGTTTCTAGCAAAGGCTCCTGGGGCTCCCAGAACCACATTTCTGGACTGGGGTAGTGAGCATTCAGGAGATTGCCATAGAGCAGACATCTAGGGATCAGGAGGTGACCTGACACAGCCACACATACCTCCAACACCTAAAAAGCTGATGACTACATGCTAACACTCTTCCCCAAACCCCATATCACTACCACCCTCCTCACCGGCAGAGAAAACTAAGAGGAGCAAAGTATTGGTCTCTGCCCACTTCCTTTGCAAAGTTTCCCTAAAAATGCACTTAACTTAGTCACATCTTAGCTTTAGAGGAGTCTGGAAAATACAGTTTGGAGTTTTCTAGAGAGAAGTACCCCTCAGAAGAGATCCTGTAAATAAACAGAGATGGGTCCTGAGCGCCAATAGACCTTTGCCACTACAGAAGGATATTTTAAGAGGGCATTTATTTCTTCTTTGCCCTTCAATCCTCTGTGCAGATCCCAGGGCCTGACTCACAGTTGGCACTCACTTAGTATGTGATGAGTAAACAAATGAATAATGAACACGGCTACAGGGAAATGGCCTCACTTCCTTTCCTCCAGACCCAATCTGGAACATGTGCTCCAAACCCTCCAGCCAGCACCCTCAGTTCTCTTACCTGTTTGACTCCTGACTTCCAATCCTATAACACCTTAGATAAATGAATGGGCCTGGTGTGTCCTGAACCTTCCAGTTTTAGCACTAAAAGTCCTGATCCCAGAAAGGCTTTCTGTCTTGGCCTAACTAGGATGGTTGGTCACCCTGCACCCCAGCCTCAGGTTCTGAGTTCCTGCACTCATACACGTAGACCAACAAGTAGCTCAGAAGGGAGGGAGAAAAGATTACTCAACACAGAAACTGATACTCCACACCCTGTGAGTTCCAGCCTCAGCTGGGCGCCTTCTGCTGCTCAGCCATTTCTTTTACGAGACCCTTTATCAGCTCTATACCTCTTGGGTCAACTCCCTCCTGCATGGCTTTCTTCCATCCTAACTCCATCTATTGCTGCTTTTTGTCAGGGGCATTCCCTTATACATGACCTTGTCATTTATAAGGCCCGAGTCCTGCGACCTCTCACCTTTCCACTGCCCCAATTGGCACCTTCTGTCCTTCAGCTTGTCCAGGGAGGACAATCCCATTTGTCCCCTCCTGTTTCCCCTGAGCCCTTACACCAGTGCTTTCATCAGACACTGCAGGGCCTACTCCCCATGTTCAAGTCTTTTCTATCTTACACAATAAGTAAACCCCAAAGCCCTTAAGTCAGAGGTCCCTTAGACTGACCATTCTTTCATTTTATTTCCTTTCACCTGAAGCTGGGACATCATGAGGACAGAGTCTATACTCAGCGCTTTAATTGCTTCAGCTTCAATTTCACTCAGCAGGCCTGCACCTGGGCCTTACCCACCATTTTCCTTACACAGTGACCCTTACTGTCAAGCCAGACTGGAATCTGAGGTAAAAGGAAACATCAGTAACGCTCTTACTCTTTTTGTTTAAAATTTTGATAATTGGTTCATTATACATTTTAACAATTATGTTGGTATTTTAAAATGTTGCATTAAAATATTATCTGTCTTGATTACTGAATTATCGAGCACTCCCTGGAGTGTTATATGAAAGCAGGTATCTGATTCCTTTTACCCTAGCAGGCCAGCCCTGAGGATGCCACTCTAGTCAAGGCCTTGGTGATCTCCTAGCTGCCATGTCCAGGGTACTTAGAAGTCTTTCAGACCCAGCAATTCTTCTACTGGTATATACACCAAAATAAATGAAAGCACTGCCTTGTAAAGATATCTGCATGCCCATGTTTGCTGCAGTATGGTTTACAACAGCTTCCAGTTATGGAAACAAACTAAGTGTTTATTGCACAAATAAACTGTGGTGTGTATATACAGTGGAATATTAGTCACCCTTCAAAAGGGAGAAGTTGCTGCTATTTGCCACAACATGGATGAACTAGATGACATCATGCTAAGTGAAATAAACCAAACACAAAGAAAAGTGTGTTGTATTGCATGATATCACTTATATGTAAAATCTAAAAAAAAATGTCAAATATGTAGAGATAGAGAATAAAAGGTTACCAGAGGCTGGGGTAGAAGAGGGAAGATGTAGATCAAAGGATATAAAGTAGAAATATGTAGGAAGAACAAGTAAAAAATCTGGTGTATAACATGAGGACTATAGTTAATAATAGTGTAATGTATTCAGAATTTTTGCTAATAGACTATAGCTGCTCTTGCTAGAGGGAGTGAGGGACAGGGGTTCATGGAATGGTTACTATATGAGATTGACATGTTAATATGTTCCACTATAACAACCATTTTACTATATATGCATCTTATAACATCATGTTACATCATTTAAATATATACAAATTTTATTTTAAAATAAATAAACAAACATAAAAAATTAGTCCTCTTTATCTGGTTGCTGATAAGTATTCCTTTCTTAAAATACTTCTCCCTGGGTTGAACTCACACACCATATTCTACCGAGGCCTTCTCTAACCCAGTCCTCAGCACCCTCTTTCTGTATCTCCTTTTTATTTTTTAAAAATATTTTTTAGTTATACATGGACTCAATATCTTTATTTTGTTCATTTACTTTTATTTTTATGTGGTCTAAGGATCGAACCCAGTGACTCACATGTGGGAGGCAAGCGCTCTACCGCTGAGCCCCAACCCCAACCTGTACCTCCTTTTTAAATGCTGGAGTTCTCTGATAACCATCTCTTACCCTAACTTGTCCCCTGGCCTTTCTGTTCTCCCTGCCTCTGACCTCACCCTTTCCAAATCTGTCTTCTATTAGAATGAACTTTCTGAAGTTGAAGTTTTTGCTTAGATCCACTCACTTTCTTGATTCGAACCTTACAGTGATCCCTCATCTCCCACTGCAAGTTCCAATTTTCTCTCTATCTAATGTCACACAGACTATTGTCGCTCTCATCCCTCATTAATATACATTAATATACATTCTTTTGAAGGGTGACTAATATTCCACTGTATATACACACCACTGTATATACACATCACCATGTGGTTCATGATTTCTGCAATGTTGCAATTACAAACTCAAACATCCCCTAGAAGACCACTAAAGGACATTCAGCTTTGACCACTCAATAAGACCTTTCCCATGTGTCTTTGCCTGTTTTACCCAATTCCCCTTATCTGCCTAGCAAAACCCCTCTGGGTTTTCAGACCCAAATGAGGCATCTCCTTCTATTGTATAAACTTTCCTGTGAAAAGCTCACACAGATTCTGTCAGTAACTTCTTCTTACCACCTCCATACTACATATAAACTTCAAGTAAAACACTTAGCACAAACCTCTGGCACCCAGCATTTGCCCTAATAGGTGACAGTAAAATGTGGTTAAGTTTGGTCAGACTTCTCAACCCTTCTCACAGAATGTCAATTGCTTCCAAACCATCTGGTATCCAAAGCACAAAATGTTCCCTGTAATCAGCAGCATAGTGACCAGCATGACTGGTTAATCTATCCAAAGACATACTTAACATTCCATTCCTTATCCTGTTCTCTACCTGAACCAAGGTCATGGGGTGGCATGAAAGCAAGGGCCTGTTTGCTGAACCACAGCACAAAAGCAAATAAAATGTCTTAGCAACCTGGCAACCCTGGGTGGCGATGGGGCAAAGCTCATCTTGACAGCTGCAGAAAGTAGCATGCAAACCTGGAACTTTCAGATGTCGGAAAGCCCCAGCATGATATGAACACGAGGTACTTGAAAGAGTCACCCAGAAGACTCTAAAAAAACAAAGAAGGAGGGGGTTGCATGATCCTGAGTGGCATACACAGATGTTCTATGCATTCATCTCTAACACTACAGAACCCACCTACCCCCTCCATTTATGTGTGGGACCCGTGGATGTGGGCTGTGCATGTGGCAATTGGAGCAGCTGATATAACAAACCTATCTTTCCTCCTCCATCTGCAGGGATTTTAAACCTAAGATAGTGTCTGAAATGCCATTTCACAGCCCCCTCAAAATACTTAAATTGAGGATGTGTAATAATACATCACCATGTGGTTCATGATTTTGCAGTGTTGCAGCTACAAACTCAAACATCCCCTAGAAGACCACTAAAGGACATAAAATTAGAAGGCACTTTTTCAAAGTTATTTGATGTGGCTGCTATGGCTTAAACATGTACCCTTTAAAATTCAGTGGTTGCCAATGTGAAAGGATTAAGAAGTGGGGCCGTTAGGAGGTGATCAGGCCATGAGGGCTTCTCCCACGTGAATGGGATTAGTGCCCTTACAAAATGGCTTTCTGCCATGTGAGGACACGTTGTTCCCCTCTCTCCAGAGGATCCAGCATTCAAAGAAGCCAAGAGCTGCCCTCAACAGGTGCCAGCACTTTGGTCTTAGAAATAGACTAAACCTCCAGAATTTTGAGAAATAAATATCTCTTCTTTACAAATTACCCAGTCTGTGGCATTTTCTTATAGCAGCACAAATGGGCTGAGACAAAGCAGACTTCCTATGACTCTCAGGCAAGTTCTTACAAATTTGGATCTAATGTTACTTCCAACAACATCCCTGGTTCATAACAGGTGTATGAGTCACAACAAGATGAAAGAATGAATCACAGCATGAGAATCTAGACTAAAAGGATATTGTGAAGCATCTCACTAGATCCAGGAACATGAGCAGAGTCACAGGGGAAACAAATCTAAATCCAGTTGATGTAGTCACCCTCCTCCATCTTAACCAAAGTTCAGTTTTCACCTGGGCAAACTTCTCACATACAGCCCAAGCATAAGAGTATCACCCCGTTTCTGTAAAACCCACAATCAAACTCCAAATGAGTAAGTATCTCAGTGCTCCCTGGACAGTGTTTTTCCATCCCAGCATCTTTTCTCAAGCATTTGCCTCCACTCAGAAAGGCCCTTGCCATTTTTGAGTCTCGGCATGTTAAAATTCTATCTCCTCTTTCAAGGTGTCTCTTCCATAGTTGACTTGATCTCCAAATCAGGTCATCTCCTGCTTGTAGCACTGTTTGTAGTCTTTTCTGGCATTTATCTTATTCTATGCAAGAGTCAGTTGAGTATTGTCATATGGAGGTGCTTAAGGGTAGATAGGCTCCTTGCTTCAGTTGGCTGTGGGTAGGCCCTGGCCAGGCCTGCCAAGATCAGCCTTCTCAGGCCTTGAACAGGCCGGTAATCATTGCACTATTGCAGCAGGTATACACAGATGTAATGTTCAATCAACCCTTTGCAACCTAGAGTGAGGCAAGATGAAACTGGTAATCTAATAAGATATCACACTTGGAACCTGCTTTTTAGATCCAAGACAAAGAGAGAGAGAGTTTTGAAAGGAAGCTTTTGTAACCACATGATACAATGATACTGTTGTTTCAGAGGAACTTAGAAAATGAATCTGACCTAGTAAGACCCCATGCAGGCTTACCAAGAGCTGGCAGGACCTTGCCTGGAAAGGAAGAATATACTGTCTTCAGCCAAGCTCACCTAACATCCACTGGCCTTTTAGCAAAAGGTTTAAATTCCAGTATGTTTTCATAAAAATGTATCCTTTTCACTGAATCCTGATAAGCTGTCATTTCTAAAATTAAAAATTTATGTGTCACAGTTTTCATCTGTCCAATCTTCAACCACAGTTCCCTGTGTAGGACAGTTCAATAAGAAATTCAAAAGTTCCTAAAATTTAAAGTATTTTCCTCTAACAGGACAGCCCTTTAACATTCTCAAAACTAATACCTCCACAAGGTCTTGAGTTCAATCCCCAGCACCCAAAACAAACAAACAAAAATATCTCATATGAGATGGTAATATTTTAATTTTTCATTTATTTATTTACTTACCTAGTTTTGCAGTACTCAGGACTGAACATGGGGCTTCCAGCATAATAGGCAAGCACTGTCCTGAACTACAGCCCCACCCAGATGTTATAAGTTTAATACAAATCTAATTTTTAATAAACTGTTGTTCTATTCACTCACTTTATTGAGGGAAAAAAAAAACAGGACAATGTGTGATTTGCTACATTTATCCATTCGTTACCAGTTTTCCTTTTCCTTGGCAGAAAAAAAAAAAATAGCAATAGACCAAGATGGCGGAGTTTATTTAAGATTTCAAATTGTAATGCTTTGGTAAAGCCTGGGTCAGAGACCAGATCTGAGTTCCAAGTAGTACAAAGGAGGGTTGTGGCTAAGCTTCACTTTTGAGGTATCCACACCATCTGATGTCACCTTTAGAGGAGCTAGATATATATCCTCATGAGATCACACTCAGAAACCACGTTCTTTCTCAAGGTTTTTTTGTTAGGTGATTTTTTTTTTTTCCAGTACTGAAGATTGCAACAGGGGGACTCTACCACTGAGCTCCATCCTCAGTCCTTTTTACTTTTTATTTTGATATAATCTTGCTAAGTTGCCCAGGCTGACCTTGAATTTGTGATCCTCTTGACTCATCCTTCCCAGTCACTGGGATTACAGGCAACCATGTGTACCTCCTCAAGGTGTTGAGGAATAAAAAATGGCTCAAAAAAATGGAGACAAGTGGAAAAGAAAAATTCTCCAGTTGCTTCAGTCTCATCATCCCATCATCCCTGGTACATCCCTGGTACACAACCTGTTCCCTAGGTTCTGATCCCTAAGTTGATCTTTTCTTCTAAGTTCCTTGACATTTCTGGTGATTACACAGGTTAAAGGAACAGATTCATTCTACAAGCTGGCTGAATGATAGCCAACCTGTTTACAGAAAGCCTAGGCAGATAGCAACTGGCTTCAATTCTGATTCTCAGGAGGTATAGCTTTGTGCTATATATAACCGCCCTGTGCTACTACATTTCACTAATAGGTCCACCAGGGCACTTAGGACACAGACTTTTCTGCCAAATTAAAATAACACAGTCATGGATTAGAGTAGAACTCAAGTCAAGTGTAAAGTCAAACTCAGCTTCAATGCTGTTCCACAGCCACGGTTTTCAGCATAACTTTTGCTGATGCATCTTGTCTTTGCCAACTAGAAAAAGAGTTGCAATCAACAGAGGGAGATTTATGTATTTCCATTCCCTAGTACTAGCAAATACTCAGTAACTGCTGAACAGATTGATTTTTTTTTTTTTTATTCAACTTCAAGTCAAGTTTTGGTCATTGTTGCAAGGAATCTGGTCTACTCACCAGATGGTATTCAAGCAAAAGATCTGTCAAGTGCCTGTTCTTTAAAGCAAAGGTCTATCTTTAAAAGTTACCTTTGAAATCTTCAATTAAAAAAGAAACAAATGGATATATAAGCCCAAAAAAGAGCTAAAGGACGTTTTAAGAAAAACAAAATAAAAACAAAACCTCAAAAATTTCACAAGTAGTAGATAAGGAAACTATGGTTCCCATTTGTAAAGTAAAATGATCAAAATAAATCATTACCCTGGAAAACAGCATGGAGCAAGTAAGTACAACAGCAGTTTTCAATTACATTGAAAAATTTTAAAATGATGATGAATTGCTTTATTCAATTGAAGAGTTCACTGTAGAAGACACAATCTTGAATATTCAGATGAATATGGTAATAAATTGGTAGGAATTAGGTCTCTTGTAATAGGTACTGAATTACCAAAGATGACAACCCAATATCAATAATAATAAGAAAATAACGAAGAAGCTGTTCATTTTAGTCAAAATTTTAATGACTAAATAAAGACAAAATGGGTAGAAATGGAGATATTGAAGGAACATAAATACAGGACAAGGTATAATGGGTAGAAAAGGAAGCAATTTTATCTGTGAAGATTTAAGAACACATATACATATTTATACACATACATGTAATGTGTATATACATGCATAAAGTCATTTTTCTTTCAAATGTGCATGGTCAGAGAAGAAACTATACCCCTAAGCCAAGAATTGAAGAGGGAGTAAAACCATGATTCAGGGGATTTAAACAGGCAAATGAATTCAAACATGAATTGCAGATACACACATTCTTAAAACCAAGAAAAGTAGTAATTAGAAAAAGAAATCTTTCATTGATGACAGAAGGAGGAAATTTACATGTGGAAAAAGCAGAAATATTAGTAGAACAGGCACCAGTTTGGAAATTCAGTTTGGAGAAGCAGCACCATACAAAATAAGGGATTTCAAAAAATTTTATATATATATATATATATAGAATATGCATATTTAAATCTATAAGTACTTATACATATATAATTATTATATTTTATATAATATACATGTACATTTATTTATATACATAACATAAATAAATACTGAATATATATAAGTATATAAGTACTGTATAAATATATAAGTACCATATATGTATATTTGAATATATATAAGTATATATATATATATATATATATATATATATATATATACACACACACACACACACATTAAGCACTTCAAAGACTGTATTTGAGTGTATAAGTTTCTGAAAAAGACACTCAAGTACAACCTCTACTTACCTGTAGGAATGGACTCCTGGGGGGCTTAGTCTAGTTACTTTACAGGTATTTAACCAAGGTAATTCTACCACAATTTGACTGAAAAGTTTTTAAAGTATTACAATGCAAAGTGTTAAATGCAATGCTGTGGTAAGTGCAAAGGTAGCCACCAAGCTTGTGAAAGGAGAACATAGGACATTCATGAAGGTAGGGTGTGAAGACTTCCAAACAAGACAGGAGTGAAATGCAAAGGAGAAAGAGGATATTACAATAACAGTGCCTCTTGCCTCACAGGTTTATACTAAGTAAAACAAGAATGCACCTGAGCACAATTGCCTTCAGTGTCTGATCACCTACCCACAAGTTTCCTCCTTTGTTGTATGGTAGTAGGTCTTGTCCAGATTGTCTACGTAAGTAACTTGGTCTCTCCAACACCTGGTGAGGTTATGGAGACAAGAAACAAATTTAGATATCTAGAATTCTGCCTGGTCTAGAGGAGCTCCATACACTTTGGTAGAATGATACTGAATCAAAGGCAAAGAGGCAGTTGCATCCATAGCACGAGTTTAATTAGCTCTTGAGGCTGTACAAGCCCCCATTCTTAGAGTCCACTCCTGGGATTTAAAAGGGCTACATCAGTCAGTGCTGTAAGTCCCCAAGAAGTCTCAAGGGAGGGATCAAGGGTAGAAAGCAAGAGACTCAATTCTTTTCTGCTGGGTCCAGGGACAGAGCCCTGACTTCCCCGTAGACCACAGCGCCTCCAGCCTAGGGAAAGGGTCGGTAGGGGGTGGTAGGGTTCTTGGTTTACTCACGCCGGGCACCCACCGGCTCTTCCCACTACACAGAGGCCTATCTTCGGACACTCTCGGGAAAACCAAATTAAGAAATGCTCCCGATCAGACGAGAAACTGCACGCCAGCATTGCATGCATCAAGAAGTGGCCGCCTTCTTGGGAACTGCCCGCAGAGCCCCAGAGAGTTTCCTCTAAGCTGCCTGCCATGTGAGGCGCCGCCCAATGTAGGCTGCGGAATCCCCCACGTCTCCCCAGATTGTAAAATTCCCCGAGTATGGTCAAAGGGCGAAAACCGAGCTCCGGGAAGTTGCCTGATGCCCGAAGGTCACCAAGACTGAAGGGGAGCTGCTGGGGCGCCATGTCACCCAACTGGGAACGGCGGTGGAACCAGGGACAGCCTGGGGACCAAACCTACATCCGTTTCAGCTTCCTTGAGGGCCCCCGGCCAACGCTCAAAAAACTGCCCACGACCTTCCTATGCCTGTTGCGCAACACTCCCAGGGAAGGGGGACACCAAGTGTCCCTGCAGACCAGCAACTGGATTCACCTTGGAAAAGGGTGTAAGTTAGCAAGTAATGGTGTTAAAATGTAAAGGCCAGTTAGAGACGGAATGTACAACAATTTCACCAGGACATTCGACCCAAAAGGTACCAGAAAAACAAGTGTGGGAGAGAGAGAGGGAGAGGGAGGAGAGGGAGAGGGAGGAGAGGGAGAGGGAGGAGAGGGAGAGGGAGGAGAGGGAGAGGGAGGAGAGGGAGAGGATATGAATTCCTGTATGATAAATACATTCAAAGTTCTCTTCCAAACAACAGTCTTGAAAAAATTATATTCTGGAGTTGAACGGGGGGGGGGGGCGGGGGGGGACGACACAAAACTTCAGTCCCTCTTTATCTGAAATCTCTTACATAAAGCAGGTCAATCCCGCCAGATCTTGTTCTTAGTTTTAGATTATTCCGGTTTATCAACGTCCTAAATGCTTTACGTATGTTACCCCCTATTGGTTCCACCTTCTGTTGTGGAATAACAAATTTCAAAAGTCAACTAATCTAGAGGGCGTCAGCTCTTTGAATTCACTTCCTGCTTCCTAGAATCATTTACTCTTTTTCAATGGCCTTTGTTTTTACCAGTTTGGGTTGTTAATATTAAAAGAATATGCCCTCCGTCCAAATCTCGACACAGTCAAGTGAAAACTTTTAGAAATGATGTTACATTTCTCTATCGTTTTGAAGGTGTCTGGAAGTAAGCGGTAGAAACGAGCTTCTTTTTGGGAGGAGGGTGACTTAAAGAAATTCTTATCAGTCTAGCACTCCCAACTTTCCCAAGGCAAGCTTGTAAGTTGCCAAAACATACATTAAACCGCTTTGGAAAACAACCCTGACCCATTTTACCTCGCTATTGCAAAAAAGACTAAAACTTCCCGCTGGGCCAGACTTTCCGGTTGAGTAAAGGAAAAGTCCCCTTTGTCAAAGTTTCAAAAGGAGAACTGCGCATGTTTTCGACAGTTCTCCCCAGAAGCAACTCTCCAGATCATTGTAACCAAAGTTTACAGCCTCTGGGGACTTGCCACCAAAGCTTGAGGCCAGTTTGCACCTCTGGAGGCTGATATGGAGTGGTCTGCGACGGCCCAGCAGTCCCACTCTTTAGTGGGTCCAGGCGGTCGGAGGAAACCCGACCTCATCAGGGACCCCGGCGACCTTCAGCGCAGGGTAGAGGGAGCGGGGCCGAGGAGGCGGGGGCGCTCCGCCCAGCCAGTGCCCAAGGGGCAAACCGGAAAGAGTCCATAGAATTAAATCACCTGCATAAGGCCCACCCCGCTCCTGGCTTCTGCTGAGCCCCCTACAGGGGTGAGTGTCAGAAGCTGCAGTCCGCCAGCAGCCCCCTGGCGGGCTGCGCACTGACGCGCAAACCCGGTGTGCTCCGACCCCGAGTGCTGCGGTCTCGCGCTACTTGCCTGCGGCCCTGCGCAGGAGCAGCTGGGGAGCACCGATACGTACCGTCCTGCTCCCGCCCGGGCTTTCCTCCGCTCCGACCCCTGGGCCTTCACTCACCTAGACACCGGAAGGCACTGACGGCGTGAAGGCCTAGAAACTGACGTGGAGCCGGCGATTATAGGGCGTAGCGCTTCCCTGCCCTCCCACTGCGGTAGCCTGGGCTTGCCCTGGACGTGTCTCAACTTACAGTTTCCCTGAGCGGTCCAGAGACCCCGCGCACGAGACCCCTAGGAGTCCCTTTTGAGTTGAAAAACCAGCGAGACCGTCAACCGCTGCTTCCTGTTAATGTTTTCCTGTTCTACAACAGCTGAGTGCTCTGTGAAACCGTATTGGATGTTCGAAGTTTTGTTTTATGATCTCTGCTCGTGTTATTACCGGTGTGTGGGAATAGTAAGTGGCAAAAGTGAACGTGCTTTATGGTTTAATCTATTCCTAATAACTACTTCCCTGAGATATTTTAACTATTCCCCCCACTCCCTGTCATTGTTTTGTTTTGTTTTTAAGGGTGGGTGGGGGGATTTTTTAAGTGCGTGTGGGTATTTGCTGGGGGATCAAGCCCAGGGAATTTCCAATGCTAGTGAGATAGGAACTTGGGAATACAGAAAAAGAAAGATACACTGTCAGAAGTGCCTAGAAACTGAGGGAAAGCAGGAAATGTCCATAAACCTTTGAAAAGTAAAACAAGCCTTTCCCACCAACCCCGCCCAAGTCCTTAGTCCTCTACCTAAGGGGCTTAACCCTTAAACCCTGCTCTTGCCTGCACAAAGTAACACGAGGGAAATGTGCAAGCGCTAGAAAAGCTGGCAGGAAATTGAGTCACTCCGCCCTGGCTCCACCTGTAGGCCAGCCCCTAACTACTGTCTGTCTGCATGAATATATATATATATATATATATATATAATTAAATATATTATTATTAAATATATATATTCATTATTAAATATATATATTCAACTCAGGGGCACTTTACCACTGAGCCACATCCCTAGCCCTCCTTTTTATTTTGCTTAAAAGCCTCGCTAAATTGCTGAGGCTGGTTTTGAACTTGTGATCCTCCTGCTTCAGCTGGGATTACAGGAGTGCTCCACCTTGCGGGTCCTCTATAAATATTAATACCCCATATCAAGATGTTGCTATATCTCTAGTAATGGCCAGTTTACTACCTCAAATGTGTATTTATTACTTTACCCCAAAAGTTCCCCCTCCCTCCCTCCCCCCACCCCCCCCCTCTCTCTGACATTGTCTCTTATATACGTCTACTTTCCCAAATAAATCTATGTCTCTGGTATGTGCCAAAATTCTTGTCCATTTCATATGCCAAGAACTCTACTTTCCGCGTGTCCTGAGTAGGGTACCCCTCTATAGGACCTCCTGTGACATTAGGACAAGTTATCTACCACTGGATTATATGTCCAGTCCTTAAAGTTTTCTTAATTTTTGGCTGGAGTTGTAGCTCCATGGCACAATGTCTAATTAGCATGTGCAAGGCCCTGGATTTGATTCCTAACACAACTTTTTTTATTTTTTGACAGGAAAATTACAAGAATAATACCAAGAGATTAATACTGATATGACAGCATAAAGAGCTGACCCACCCTAAGTGAAACTAGTGAAAATTATGGCCCTAAAGGCAAATAGCAAATAAACATCAATCTAAAAAAATTATATGAAAATTTTTCCATGAAAAAGTCCTGGACTGTGGTACCAGTCTGTCTGCATGAACCAATACCTCTCTGTCCTTCCCCCTCTCATTTTTGCAAGACAGATTCGAGACTGCTGCAACCCAAACCACAAAGCTTCCCAGTAGCACTCATCCGAGGAACAGGATGTCAGCATTCTTATTCCTTTTCTTTTCCTAGCCACATGATGCTGAGGCTAAGTCATGGGTTAGGCTAAGTGTGGATTAGAGATAAGGGATTCCCTTCCATCCAGCTGCAATTCATGGAA